ATACTTAAATCAAATGCTACTAAATATTTATCAAAATATATTGATTTATGAATGCATTTGCAAATGTGTACATCACCTCTGATAACATGTTATAATAAAAATTAATATAAAAAATGTTTAAACCTCTAATAATTTTCATTTAATAACTTCACACACTTTATGTGAATAATCATTTCGTTTTTAAAAAATGTATCATACAGTTGATTGGCATAATAGAGATAACTATGAGCATGATACATTTATTATATTTTCTACAATAAATATAACAAACTAGCACAACTGGGTAATACATTTTCTGGTGATCGAAATCATAATCTGATGGCTTGCCCATACCTATCCAATATAAAACTAAGATGTACTGTACAACTTGTATCAGATAAACGTCTAGCATATTATTGAAATAATACTAAATTAAATAATATGCCATTCATAAATAAAAAAGCAAATGACTCGTGGGTGGGTGGGAAGGGAGCAAAAGGCATCCTCAGTCTCGAACTCAGGCCCTACGACCCAAACTCCTTAACCACTGCACCCGTCGATGTGTACTAATGTGTGTATTCTCCTCAATGTTAGCACTTCTGTAACCTTCATATCGTTACCAGTTTTTAATACAAGCACATGGCCTAAGCCTTTAGGCCAAAGGGTTAGGGATCACATTCAGTACAGTAGTAAATACATTGTATGTAATTTACATTGTATGTATTAATAGTACATACAGTGTACATACCATCAGTGTATTAATATGAAGGTTACAGAAGTGCTAACATTGAGGAGAATACACACATTAGTACACATCGACGGGTGCAGTGGTTAAGGAGTTTGGGTCGTAGGGCCTGAGTTCGAGACTGAGGATGCCTTTTGCTCCCTTCCCACCCACCCACGAGTCATTTGCTTTTTTATTTATGAATGGCATATTATTTTAGAAATTATAGCAATCTACAATTCATTATAGAATATACAATAATAGTTGTTACATGTATAAATTTAATTTATACAGTATACATTGTATAATAGTTACATTGTATAAACTCTATTTAAAATTGAAAATAAAATGTACCTTGATTATTGTGAACTCCTAATACAAACATTATTATGAAATGTCAAATTTATGTCCTAAAATTGCCCTTATAATCACATATTTCATATAATGTTGTAATAAAATGCGATTTTGATAAACTAATCACAAAATGCTCTCAAAATGATACTCATATAAGCCTTTAATAAACAGTTTCATTGATTAAAAGTCTTTATGATTACGTCTGAAGACTAACACACTTTTGCTATAAATACAGATCTCAAACAACAGCTAAACATTAGTTGAAAATTAGTGAATAACTATAACTTGATTTGCAAACAATATTCGTGTGAATCAGTGACACAATGAGCGCAAAGAAGGCAATCATCACAGAGTTAGCGCCCCAACCGATCGGCACCTTTTCGCAGGCCATCCGACACGGAAACACAGTGTATCTGTCGGGTCAGGTGGGATGGGATGTGAAGACTGGCCGATTGGTGACCGACTCGTTTGAGGCACAGTTGGAGCAGTTGCTGAAGAATGTCAAGAGTGTGGCCGAGGCTTCCGGGGGTTCACTCGAAGACATCGTTAAACTCACCCTTTTTATTCTCGACTACAAGAACTTTCCGATAATTAATAAAGTGTTTGAAAAGTTTTTCACAAAACCATACCCGGCCCGCAGTTGTATCGGGGTATCCAGTCTCCCATTGGGCGCAGACATCGAAGTTGAAGGCATTTTGCAATTGTCTCACAAATAGTTTATCTTAAATGTTATTATATTTAATCTTATTATGTATTTTACATTTTATTTAAATATAAAAAATCTCTATTTTATGATACATTTTGCTAAATAAATATGAGTTTAAAATTAGCACTTATTTTGTTAATCCTTTACTAAATATAGTAAAATAATGAGTGATACAAGTTGTGGTCAAATAATATGAGTCTCGTTGAGCGAGACTTTAAGTTCAAAGTTAAGTGTTTGCCAATTGCAGAAGGAATGGTATGTGTGAAAACAGGCCACTATTATAATGCCACCAAACGTTAGGCCGAATATAACGGCCGGAATCAGTAGCGCCAACCGAAAGTGATCACCAATTAGTCCATCAGATATGATGTAATCAAATATAGCCAGATATAGGATATACATGATGAAGAAGAAGCCATAGATGAAACATATGATAAATGAGGCCTCATTTGTGTGTCTAATCCACGAGAAAAAACTTTTACCAACTCTTTGTATTGAAATGCCTTTTCAAGTGAACAGTAATTTATAAATGAGAGATTTGCACAGAATTAATGCATTTATAAGTTATGCAAGTTTGTTAAGTATATAATGAGATATACCCTCAAATTTATTCAAACATACGGAACACTCCTCACTATTACTGATGACAATCCATTTGGACAGACACTTGAAGTGGACATAGGCTGATGTGCCACTGCATAGACACGGCTGTATCAATGGAGTTGTAGTTAGGAAACAAAATCGGCACATATTTTTGTATTCAGTCGACATTATTTAAAATAATTCACTTTGTAATCAACTCAGACACAAGATATTAACAAAATTAATTTTTTATCAGATTAATGAGATTAACAGTCAAAATAACATATGCAACATATTTATCAAAATACTTTCCAATTCACAGATTCTGAATAAAGGATTAATTCAATGAAATAAAAAGTATATTCTTTGTGCGAAATATGTATGGATTTGAATATAAATAAAATGAGTTATTCATGGAGTGAGAGGAGTAATGCTCTGTTGAGTATTTGCAAAAATAAATACAAATATCATAAATATAATGACATTTTGGAAACGTCTCACTTCCCGGATGACATTATCACTAATATTTCGGTTTCATATTTTAATTGTTTATTAAAAGTATTGAAAATTTCCAGTTTTTCATACTCATCTTTAAATTAGGGCACAATTAGTACTTTAAATCATTAAATAAAGTAATGTGTTATTTATAAATAATTGCGAGCAGATTANTATAATGACATTTTGGAAACGTCTCACTTCCCGGATGACATTATCACTAATATTTCGGTTTCATATTTTAATTGTTTATTAAAAGTATTGAAAATTTCCAGTTTTTCATACTCATCTTTAAATTAGGACACAATTAGTACTTTAAATCATTAAATAAAGTAATGTGTTATTTATAAATAATTGCGAGCAGATTACAAAACACTTTTTAGTTATAGGACTTTAGATAATTAATCAAATACAAAATAAAACATTAATTTTGTTAAACTTGGCGCAAATTATGATACATATGTTAATTTATTCACAGTATATAGTAGTATAGAATATAGTCACAAATATTCACGTATTTGAATAAATATTTATCATTTTCATCATTATTTAAAATAACTGATTATGTAATATTCTACATGACAGTACATTTCTAAATTCTTATACCTGTATAATAAAGTAATTTATATCCAAACAAATACATGTATAATATATCCCATTGATCAGACATTTAATTTAACAGATGCTAAACGAATAAATAATAAAAACCCTAATTTTCATGACAAATACCCATTGTTTCTCCATTTGTTCATATAATTCAATGCAAACAGTATTTAGATATCAAATTGCATCAAGATTTCGACTAAATCAGAGTATTTTAATATTGGTTTTGTAATAATTACATTTGGAAATGCATTTGAATTTGCAAATAATCGTATTGATGGCAATATTTGGCACAATCTATGGCATAGTGTGTCCCACCGATTACTGTCAGAAAGTGGACTGCGCTAATAGTGTCACTCAAACTTCATGTGAGAACCAGAATGGCATCTACACTGCCCATGGCACTTTTTGTGGCTGTTGCCCCACATGTCTCACCAAATTAGGTACTGGTTCAATTTGTTAATTCATTATTTAATTTGAAAATTTGTTTTTATAGAAGAGGGACAGAGTTGTCGAGTATTAGCCCTGAGAGGTGTGCCCCCGAAAGTCCAATGTGCTCCGGGTCTCAAATGTGATACCACTTCAGGAGTTTGTGTTAAGATTTAGTAGATTTACAAAATTTACAAAATAAATGTTTGAGTAAATATGTTTTAATATTTTTATTAAAATTATTGATAAATAAATGTTAAATATTAAACTTAAATATTTCTCACAAAAATAATAGTTGTTTGGGATAATTGAATATTATAAAATCTATTTTATTATTTAATACAAAATTTGCAGTTTTTCATACTCATCTCCAATTTAGAATATAATTAGTATTTTAAATCATTAAATAAAGTAAAATGTTATTTATAAATCATTGCACGCAGATTACAAAACACACTTTAGTTTTACAACATTTGATAATTATTAAATTACATAATAATACATTAATTTTGTTAAATTTGTCGCAAATTATGGTACACATGTAAGATTTACAATATACGTAGTGAAGAATATACTGTAGTCATAAATATTTATCATTCTCATCTATATTAAAATAATTGAGTATGGTACATAATTCCATAAATCTAACTGACATTATATTTATAAATAACTTTTACAATAGAATAATAGTGTAATTTATATCCAAACAAATATATCCTATCGATCATACATTTAATGTAACTAGTGTTGCCAAAACTTTTTTCTTAATTCGAGGACATTTAACAAAATCAGACATTTTCTGGAGGAGAATTGGAGGACAAAATATAAAATTTTGATCAAAATGTTAATTTAAAATATATCTTTAATAATCATAATAAGCAGTGTTGGTATCTTTACCATTTTGTTTTAAAACAGATAAGCTTTCGAGTTCAGTTTATATGAAATGTACATTTTAAAAACAACTAAAACGCAATTAGTGTCCAAAATTATCGAATAGGTCAATTGGAAAAGTTATGCAAATTAAATTAAAAATTTTACAAAACAATTACGCTTCAATTAATAAATATTTTGTAAATTTTTTGATAATTTAAGTAATAATATTCATAGGAGAGAATATTATTAGTTATGATGTGCTACGTAGTGTATAATTTATTTAAAATGAATTAAGGTTACCGGAATATAAAATAAGCAATAATATTTAGCAAGAAATGATTTTTAACTAAATGAATTTATAAGCCTATTTATAATTGCAATATTATTACAATACGTCTTAAAATTAATAATTATAACTAAATTTCTCATAAAATATGAATTTAATTTAAGTGAATTCTTGTGGAGGATATTACATTGTCCTCCACAACCCTCTGGAGAACTGTTCCCTTTCCGGTCGATTGGAGGAAAATCCTCCAGAGTGGAAGAGGTTTGGCAACGCTAAATGTAACAGATGTTAAATTAATAAATTTAAAGAACCCAATTTACATGACAGGCACCCATTGTTTAATAATTTATCCAGTATATAAATTCAATGCACACATTGCTCAAATCACATTTTATATCAAGATTTTGTCGAAATCAGAATATTTTGATATTGTTTTCGTAACACATCTGGCAAATTATATTTGGAAATGCATTTGAATTTGCAAATAATCGTATTGATGACAATATTTGGCACAATCTATGGCATTGTCTGTCCCCCCAATTTCTGTCAGACTGTGAGATGTGCTAATAGTGTCACTCAAACTTCATGTGAGAAACAGAATGGCATTTACACTGCCCAGGGCACTTTTTGTGGCTGTTGTCCTGCATGTCTCACCAAATTAGGTACTGGTTCAATTTTTAATTCATGATTTAATTTTATGTTATTTTCATAGGAGAGGGTCAGAGATGTCTAACGCTGAGAGGTGTTCCCCCGACATCCCAATGTGCTCCGGGTCTCATATGTGGCACTTCAGGAGTTTGCGTTATTAATACAAATTACTAAAAATGTATTTACTAAATCCCTGTTTGATTATATGTTTTAAGATTGTTATTAAAATGTATTAAATAATAAAAAAATTCAGATTTTCATAAAAAAATATTGTAATAGTCTTTTAGGAGTTAAATATTATAAAATCTATATTGTTATGAAACTATGAAACATAACTTATGATTATAAAGAGGAACAGTAGTTCACGTCATAAAGTCTCCACATTAAGCTTAGTATTAGGTTAACAGACTTCGAGAGAAGTTAGTAGCAGTGGGGGTACACTAATGGAGTGCCATTGGAGGGCAATCAAGTATCTCTCGAACTGTCACTCCGCAGACATCTCCTTAAGAGTTGAGTCGAGAGTGTCTGTTAGAAAATCACCTCTCATTAGGTGAAGTTGGGCTCCTTTAAAATAACCAGGCAAATCTGGCCAATATTATTTATCTATAAAATTAAAATTTAATATTAGAGGGTGAAATGTATAATAATAATATTATAACTTATATATTATGTAGACAATTTATATTAGGAATTATATTAGGAATAGAGTCAGATTTAAATGCTTTATTCTCGAAATGGTTTGATTCTGAACAAATTAATGCTTTAAAAATAAATGTATTATTCATCAGTTATTTTTGTTTACACATTACAAGTATAAACAGCTATAATTTTTTTCATAATTTATGATCACCCATCAAATTGATATAAACCAGGCCAAACCAATTTATTAACAATTTCCATATGTTTGTAATTAATCAATAAATTCTTTATTGTACAACTAGACGCTCAAATGACTTATTTAAACAAATACCTGTCCAATCAAATACAATTGTAATGAAATTAATTACGTTATTAGATTTCTTTACAAAATTATAATTTACACACAAATCAATTGTAATTATTTTCAGATACACTTATTTACTGTACAATACTTGCATATTGTATTATATATTAGATAATCAATAAATTATTTCATTTATTATTCAATTTCTACTTATAAGTAACTCTTTAACATTGAACTGAATATATAAGTTATATCGATAATAATAATAGCCTATTACCTAAATAATAGTAATAACATTATTACCTAAATTATTAACATTGAAATCTTATCTGTTATGTTTATAGTGATACAGTAATACATAAAAGTTCATTTTAACTATGCAAATAAAATTAAATGTACGATAATTATTTTATATATTATTTTATTTTTATACAATATCTTTAATATAATCCTTTTGTTGTAAATAGCTTTTAAATAATTTATTTTATGAAAATTGTCTATGATAATTAAATAAATACTATAAATGAATGTATCAAATTAATTAATTAATTTACCTGCTCAAATCAGGGAATTATTAAGTTATATAAATAGATTCTATTAAATTGACTTTAAAATACAAGAATACAGTAACAAAAATAATTTTAATTATTTTTTAAATTTAAATCAAGTCATAATACTGTGTATATATATTTGTATATATAATGATATATATACAGAGTATATATTATTGTGTTTATTATAATAAAATAGCACAAAAATATATTACAGGTATATTAAAAATTAATAGTAAATTTATTTTTAGTAAGACTTTTAAAATAAATGATAGTTTCAAATATTTTCTAAATAAAAAACAAAATCATATTCATTTCATTTTACAATTTGAATACTTTAAACATTTGTTTGAAAATTGATAATTAATGCAAATACAGTAATATTGAAAATGTAAAATATTTTATGAACACAAATATGAATTATACCAAAAGACACGTGAAACTAATTATAATTTATTTGCAGTATTTTATTTATATAAGTACATTTAAATGAAAATGAATCTAATTAAGAAAACTAAGTCGCCAAAATATCAATCAACAATAATTTTAATGTTTTAATTTTAAATTATTTATTAATTATAAATTATATGTAAAAAAAGTCAAATTACGTAAAAGCAAAATTTTGTTAAATAAAAGTATACCTACATTTAATAATTACTTTGTACCGTATGTGTAAAGTTGGAAAATTAAAATTTCTAAATTTAAATATACAAAATTTTTAATAAATGTGATGAAAGTATTTTAAATGTGTTTTACTGAGTTCAAACAATATCTAAATTAAGTTTATAATTATCTCATCTTTATTTTAAGCAATTTCACAATATATTTAGTTACCGTACCCTTAAAAGTAAGATTAACTTTAGTTTTTATCATTTTGTTATAAGATTGCTATTGTTATTTTTGCTATAATTAACACATTCTCTAAGCCGTCATCGATAGGTATTCATTGCGATAATTGTAGATAGTCCATATTAATCGCAACCTGTATATTTTAATCTTTTACGTGCTCCAAGTTGTAATATCAATTTCTACCATTTTTACAATGAATATCATCGATAACGCTCAGAGATATTAATATATTCTTAATAATTTTATAATAACATTACAAGCCAATAAACTATTATCTACAAGAGTATATTAAAACTTAGTTTTTTGATTAAATCTTAGTTTTGCTCTTTTTATTTACAGCCAATTTATTTGATTAAATCTCTAATATTGTACGTTATATTCAAATTTGATTACAATTAAGCATATCTTGAATCTAAAGTTATTCTCTAATCTTTGCTCCAAATTGTTATACTATTTATTATCATTGGTTAATAAATATTCATTCAATCACTTTCAACATTAACTAATGAAAG